TATCTATGAAAGTGAACTATAAGACAAGTATCTTGGATATTTAATTTCACTATCTAAATATATTGGACAGAATATATTAACCTATAATATCCAGGATGTTAAAATTCAATATCTATATGAAAGTGAACTGTAAGACAAGTATCTTGGATATTTAATTTTACTATCTAAAGATATACGCAAACGTCATTTCAAATTATAGGTTAAATGTACCTTATTTTTAAATCTTGCGGTAAAATAACAACATTTCGTTTCTGAAAACCACGAAGTAGAGCTCAAAACTTGACAGAAATTCTTAAACATATAATCAAATTCCTAAAATTCCAAAATTTGACAAACAGCGCATATAATTTACTATTCATTATTACCAAATACTTACATTACTAGTGCATTAATAATTATTAATTTATTCTATAATATATATTTACAGATATAATACATAATTTATTAATTAATATTTATAAATGATAATAATATTAATAGAATTATAGCAATTTTTTAATTTTTATAAATAATCAGGGTCCTAATTTAAAACAAAAATCCTGATCTTTTTCCGGTTATTTTTCTTGATGAGACTGCGGGAAAAATTATTATTTTTCCCAGTCATTGCAAGAAAAATTCTAAAAAAACACATGAAATTGTAGTCAATATTTATTAATTCGTATGTCATATAAATTTGAATTATATACTCGCGACATTACTACTAAAGAATATTATAACATGTTTTTTTTATTTATTATGGTCATGTGGGAAAAACCACATACAAGTTGGGTCTATGTGTCAGTGGTCAAGGAGGTGGCGCCAATTCTAGTGGCCGCGGTGAACTAATGAAACTCAAATTACTCCGCTTTAAAACTTTAATAAAATAATTTCCTTGCAAAATTATTGTAATTTTGTTTAATTTTTTGCTTAATTTTGTTAATGAACTTAAAAAATATTAATTTTCGCTGGCAGTTACGACGTAAGTTTTTCCATTTTGATGCTCGCCCATCAAAACAGGGTGATAATATAACCTCACTTTTGCTTTATTGTAGGCTGCTGTAGGCGCCTTAGACGTTGCGCTTGCGCAACGCACAGATATTAGATTTGAATATATTAGATTGTTAAGTTCAATATCTAAACGTTATATTCTACAATACACTACATATTAAATCTAAACATCTGATATACTAAGCGTTAAAATCTAGATAATATATTTAAGTATCTCATTTTTAATATCTAATATATTAAGAGTTTTAATATCCATTTTTCTCAGTGTATGATAAAACAAACGGAAGTATAAAAAAAGAAAAATAAATATATAAAATAGTAAATTTAATAAACTGGCGACCTACTGCCAGCCCGACCCACCAAAACCCTTAACCCTTCTTTTGGAGCCCTTTACCCTCCCTCGGAACTGTCATAAGACTTTAGCCTTCGAGGGTGGCGCTCCAACTCTGTCGCTTATGCGACTTTCTGCTTTACTCTGCGGTTAACCTGCGTTAATAGTTAAAAATTTAAAACTATTTCAATATAAAAGCGGAATTAACAGCACAACAATAATAAAAAAAAACAAATGTTTAATTAAGTGTAAAAAGTCAAAAGATAAAATTGTAAACGGATATATAAAAAAAGAAAAAATAAACGCGTATATAACACAGCCACACAAAAAAAAGTTCTGATCTGGGGGTCTCACTATGTAGACTTTATGGTTTTTGGGTCGCTGAATCCGAATCCGAGTTCCATTTAACCCCATCAGATCAGGATTTTGACATAACCTCAAAAAACCAATATGGCGGACACATTTTTGAAAAGTTTATCGGATTCGCTTGAAATTCGTTACTCGGGGGTTTTTTGGGTCGCTGATTACGAATTTAAAGTCTGATTTCAAAAATTCAAAATGGCGGATCCACTATGGCGGACACGTTTTTGAAAAATTTATCGGATTCGCTTGAAAAAGCTACGTCGTCGCGACCTGCGGATCTCTTTCTTGAGCTCCTTTTTCGCCTCCTTGAAAGCCTCTTTCAGCAAGGGATCTCCCTTAGATCGAGTATATGTCCTTCTTGCTTTGAGGCATTCCTTCCTCAAGGAGGCTAGCTCCTCTGACCACCAGTGCAAGGATTTTCTTCCGGGAATGGCGCCTTTGCGTGGCATAGACTCATTGCAAGCGGTGACTATCATATTCCTCACCGCTCGAACCTCCCCATCCAGACTGCTCGGCCTCTTCACCCAGCCCAAGTCCTCAATTAAAAGGGCTTCTCTTAGGGACCGGCCGAACTTTTCCTTGTCGAGTCTCTTCATATTCCACGAGGAGGTTTTGCGACTAGGAGCATCCTGTCTTTTTCCTCCTCGTGTGTCTCCCATCGAGACTGAGAACTGAATGTACTAGTGGTCACTTGCGGTATATTCCTCAGAGACCCGCCAGTCGGTTATGCGGCTAAATAGTTTAGACGATGCGATTGTTAGATCTATAATTGATCCGATCGCACCTCGTCTAAAAGTCCATGTATTACCTCGGTTTACAGCTAATAAGTCGTTTCTGGAGATCATTTCTCCAATACGAATTCCTCTCTTGTCGAGTCTCGTCTCACCCCACTCTGGCGACTTTGAGTTAAAATCGCCAGTGATGATGACATCCAGCCTGGATTCTGTGAGGCTCGATTCTAGGTCTTCTATATTGGCTTCGAAGTTTGTCAGTGGGTCGCTGGGTGAAAAGTAGCAGCTATACATACGTATATTAGCTACCTCTATCCACACGAACCCACTGCTCGTCTCCAGAAACTTGTCAACCCGCAATTCTGGGTTGCACAGCTTTATGGCGGCTCTCTTCGCCTTATCCTGATACCAAGGGGCGAGATCGCTTCCTTGATACTGCTCACTGCAGAACAGGATATCGACCTCATTTTCCCTTGCTGTTTGCAATAGGAGCAACTGTGGATCCTTACTTGCACAGGTTTACAAATTAAAAACTTTTTTTTTCCAATCGAACAAAACAATTTTTTTTTAATAGTAGGTGTTTTTTGAGTAAGAAAATCATAGTTTTTTTTAACTAACCTGTAGGAAAATTAGCTTGTCAAAATATAATAAATGAGGTATCATTGGAAAGGTTATTAAATTACCTTTCGATCCATAGGTCACAGAATAACATTCAACAAAAATTGAGAGAGTTACAGTCGATTAAAGATGAAATTTCATGACAATTTTGATGATTTTTAGACATTTGAGTAACTTCTACTATTTTTTTCTACATCAAACAGGAAAGAATGTTTAGGTTTTAATTTTTTTATTGATAGACTATATCATTACACAAATTTTGAGCCCTTGTCGACCTCGATTGGATTAAAAATGACAATTCTACACTAAATTTAGTGAACGAAACTACATTCTTCATTTTTAGTATCCCTTAAACATTTGCAGCAAAAATTGAAGTAATAAAATTTAGTTAAGCTCTAAAGTTACTGAAATCACTAATAAATGATTTCTGAAATCGTAGATTTCGAATCCAATGTTAGTTTTCTAAATTTCAAAATGGCGGATCCAATATGGCGGACAAGTTTTTAAAAATCGATTAAATTCGTCTTAAATTCGTTACTCGGGGGTTTTCGGGGTCGCTGATTACGAATCTGATGTCGGATTTCGAAAATTGAAAAGGATGGATTCATAATGGTGAACGAGTTTTTTAAAATCCATCGAATGCTTGTTTACCTTTTTTCTCTTATTACAATCTGTAGCTGCAGCAGCTCTCCTCGTTTGCCGTGGAGTTCCCACAGTTGGAGTCTGCGGCTCTCGGTCCTTGAACGGCTCGGGGATTAAATAGCAGATTCTTACAAATTTTAAAGAACGCACCCTCTAAAACCGCCACGCCATCCTGGATGTCACGACTGACGTTCTTTTGGCGCTTGAATGCCTGGTGCACGCTCTTAAAAATTCCGGGAATAGCCAGGAACTGATTTGCGACATTTGATTTGTAGCTTGTCAGCTGGATATCTATTTGGCTCCTTCCAAAATCCTTGGAGCCATCTGCACCGACTATCGGGGCTTGCACCTGATCAGAATCGGTGGTGGGATTACCCTCTTTCGAGGTACCCACTTGGAGTATTTCATTTAAAATCTTGTCCATTACATTCATTTTTTTTTATTTCTTTGTCCCGTGTCGAGGGAACGATCGAGCCTAAACAGGGTACTACCATCTGGCCAAGATGGGCCCTGAACCGCCTCCGTTAGTTACATAGACGTTATAGCATTGCCGGAGCATTGATGCGACTTCTATGATATCCAAGGGCACGTGAACATGTATGTTCGGACGAAATTAAATGCATTTGAAAAACGTTCCAAACAAAAAAGGGAAAAATAAATAAAATTGAAATTAAATGAAAAAGTAAATTAAGGGAACTTTATTTAAATTTCGAAAAAATCCCTCAACGACTGTGTACGTTTTATTTAAGGTCTAATTTACCTTCAAGTGATTCGAATTAAAAAAGCAATTTATCGGAATTCCAGTCACTTAGTAAATTAGAATTTTAAATTAGAAAAATTTCACCGCAGACAATTATATTTATATTAATATTTATAAATTATATAAATAGAAAATGCAAAACAATATATAGTTTTAATGTATGAATCATATAATTATTTATGCATGCGAGAAAGGAAAAAGTTATAATGAAGACAATAAATCACAATGTGAGTGTCTAGGCTAATAGTAAAATATTACAAAACATTAAGATTGATTTTAATACAAAAATTTGTCTCATTTTCGAATTCAATTGAAGTGAATTGGTAAATGGGGTAATAAAATTTGTCAATTGAAGGGAATTGTGGAATAATGAGTAATGGTGTTTTTGCTGTTTATATGCGGGTGGTGGTGTTTTTTTCTTTTTTTTAGGCATACACCTAAAAAAGAGAGAGAGAGAGAGAGAGAGAGAGAGAGAGAGAGAGAGAGAGAGAGAGAGAGAGAGAGAGAGAGAGAGAGAGCAGTAAAGTTTTATTGGTGAAATATTAAGTGAAACTTTTTTATATTATACCCAAGTTGTCCTAGTATCTTGTTTATCCTTGCGGTAGTGCGGCGACGTTCGTGACGAAATTACGTCCTGAAGAATAGGTTGTCGTTGAAGTTGGGCCACGTACGCCATACGAAATGCATTACCCACAATGGCGTTTAGCTCCTCTGGCTGCAATCAAATTTTAAAAAATTTCATTTTACTTCGATGGAAAAATGTTGTCACATTTTTTTCTTTTAGATGTTTATTGATTTTAAATAATGATTTATTTTATTGTATAAATTATACAAAAAATATTATAGCAATCAGATCTTTTTACCGTTTTTCAAATTTCGTTACCCAATTGTAGCGATTTTTGCTAATTTTAGAGTTGTGACAGATTAGACATTAGGGAAATAAAGCAGGGAAATATTAGGGAATTTTGTCAAAAGTATTGTGAAAAAAATCAAATTTTCAGAATTACTAAAAAAATTCTGGTTTCTGTAAAATTGAGTTTGAAAGCCAAAAGATGAAACACATTTCACAAATAAAGGTTTTTTTCTTTATTTTTTTCTTCTTTTCTCTCTTATTCTCATATATAATGCTGAAAATAGTGTTGTAGTTTGAAAGAAACAATTTTTTCTCTTTCCATTATAAGAAATATTATTGAAATTTCTGCTGTTCCTATTTACCCCGAATTTCCAGTTTTTAGGGGTAAATAGAAACAGTCTCATATTTTTAATTAAAGTTTGCAAAATTAAAAAATCAAAGTTGATTTTTGTTGTAGTATTAATAAGAGATAAATATAAATTTTAATATGAATTTTTAGTTAATTTTTTTCTAAATGCGAGTCAAGAAAGTGAAAGGGTGTCTTCTTTGATTTTCAATTTTTTGTGCAATAGGAAATATTTTTGTATATACTACTGCTAATTGACAAACGGAAAATAGGAAAACACTTAGAACTTGTTGGGGGTAATATAAGCTTCAAGATGTAAGGCCGTATTTATTTTTAAAATTTTTTATTTAACTAAAATAACTACTGTTCCGATTTACCCCTTGTTTCTATTTACCCCAACTGACCCTAATTGAATTTTTGCAAAGAATTTTATTACTTTTGAAAATAAGTAATTGAATTTCTGCAATCATTTGTAACTTCTCCAAAATTCAATTTCTTTCGTGTTTTTAACTAAAATTCTTCTATAAATCCATTACTTTTAATAATTAATAAATATATTTAAAAAATTAACTAATTTCAGAAGAATTTGAATTATTATAAAATATAAAAAATTGAAGGTTTTGTATTAGAATTTGTGGTAATTTTATAGTTTATGAGGCAAACAAAAAAGACTGACTTTGGATTCGTAATCAGCGACCTCAAAAACCCTCAAGTAGTTATTTTCATTAGCTAAGCCTTATTTTATTTTCGATTTTGTAATTTTGTTGTAAATCTTGCCATAAACATTCTTTTTTATTATTGTTTGAATTAAAAAATTGTAAATTATTTATTGTACTATAAATTTTTTTCACAAAGTAGAATAAATTTGTGGGTGTTGGGTGTTTTGAAATCAAAAATATTTTTATTTTTGTCAAAGTTGTGAAGGTTTAAAGTCAAAAGTGGTTTTGATCGAAAACGCTGGGCGTTAAAGGGTTAAACTTACGTAATGCATTATTATTTATAAGTCTAAATTATTTTATGACTAACATCATTTTTATGTAATTCTTTGTATCATTTAACATTTCCATACTTGAAATTGATTTTTTCTTAAATTTTGTAAGAAATAATCAACTGTTCCTATTTACCCCTAAATTTTAGCAAAGTTGAAAAATTTAGGGGTAAATAGAAACAGTTGATTATTACGATTTAATAATTCCCATATTTTTTACTACTCCATAAAATTGTTCCACGGAAGTGAAATAATAACTCAACACATAACCGTAAAAATTTCAAATTATCTTTATAAATAATAAAATTCTAATCAAATTCCTGTCAAAATTTCAATTTTTTCAACAATTTTCCTCAATTCAATGATTTTTAATATTTACTATTCAAATAAAATTTTCCAAAAGAATTCAATTATTTGAAAGAAATTTTAATAAAATTCTACGCAAACATTTAATTATTTTTATAAATAATAAAAATTGATCTGGAATTTAATTATTTACAAATTTTTTATTAAATTTCTTCGCAATAAATCAATTCTTTTCATAATTAATAATAAAATTCTTCTCAGGAATTCAATTATTTTTTAAAAATTTTAATAAATTTCTTGGGAAGAATTCATTTATAATAAAAATGCTGGGCAAAAATTTAATTATTTTCATAAATATTAAGGGTGCAGTCCCATGACAGCGTTTTGCGTTGCGTTTTGTAACTAGGCCATGAGTGTGAGAGAGATACAGATATAGGTTTGCTCTATTTGCACTCATTGCCTAGTTACAAAACGCAACGCAAAACGCTACCATGGGCCTCCAGCCTAATATTCTTCGGAAGAATTCAATTTTTTCCAAAAATTTTATCAAGAATTAAATTATCATCATAAATAATAAAAAGTTTGTGCAAAAATTCAATTATTTTCATTAATATTAAAATTTTTCGGAGAAATCCACTTATATTTTCATAAATAACAAAATTCTTTGCAAGATGAATCCATTTATTTTAAAAAATAATAAAACTCATCGCACAGTTTGAATTATTTTCAATACAATTTTATTAAAATTCGTCGATAAAGTTCAATTATTTAAAAATTTGTTGATAAAATTCTTTATGACAATTCAGAATTTGGGAAAGATTTCAAATTAAAATTTTTAAAAATCTGAATGTTTTATAGTTTTAACTAACAATTCTGTTGAATTAAGCTTCTTGAAAAAGTTTAATTATTTTTTTTTAAATTATTTGAAGCTTTTATTTTGTAATGTATATATGTTACGTACCAAGCCCGAAATTGTACAAAGCCCGATCTGTACAACGATTTTTGTACTGATCGCGGTTGGTACAAGCTGTTTTGTTTTTGACACTATGGTTAATACGTACTATAATAATAAACAAAATATAATACCTACATTTACCAAACGATGATGGGCATTCTGTACATTCGCTAGTTTACTTGGTAAATGTACATAAAATTTTCATTCAGTGAACTATTTTCACTTTCACCAAATAGCCTGGTAAATTCTCACATCTGTACAACGATTTTTGTACTGATCGCGGTTGGTACAAGCTGTTTTGTGTTTTGTACAGAGCTGTTATTTCCGGGCTCTGTACAGAGATATTTGTACTGAGCTAGCTCGGTACAGAGATGTTTGTACAAAGCTAGCTCAGTACGATTCCGCCTGTACAATGTTGTCCATAGCAGTCGATTAAAACAAATGAATATTATTTTGTATAATATTTATTATGTAATTTAAATTTGAAATTTTTAAGCATAAATTTTATAATGCGTTATTTATGCATTTTATTGTATTCCACCATGACTAGTACATAATAGTATAATCAGCTTTCAGTATATTAAAAATTTCATTATTATGAATAGAATAGAATAGAATAGAATAGAATAGATTTATTATGTCCTAGGTAAATACCACGAGCACAACCATTAAAAATACAGTAATTAATAACATATAGGTATATCATATAAAGTTAAATAAAGCTATATACATCTCTTTCAGACAATAAAATACTTTGATTTACAAATTATCACAGCAACTCACATATAGATGACATACCAATCAAGATACACTCTACACGGAAAAAAAGTACGTAAATCCTTCCTTGAAAGTGCTTGACTTTTGGATAGGACACAAAATAAAAGGCTGTATCATACTTTTTATTAGAAAATATAGAAAAGTCCTAGAGTTATTCTAGTACTAGTATGGGCAACATGGTTTTTTAAATTTTAACGAAAAGTCATTTGTTCAGTTTTATAAAGTACGTGAAAGATTAGTTGACTGCGCTTGAAAATTCTGTAGAGCATGCGCAGTGTGCGTTGCGCGTTTCTACCCAAGGTAAATGCCAGCTGATCGTCTGTTTCCATTTGTGTTAATTTCAGATGTGAATATACTATTATTTTATGAAAAACAAATAGTGTTAATATATATTTGTCTTCAAGAATTGACTTTCAAAAAAATATTTTTTATTTTTTGTTTCTCACAAAACAGAATGTTATGTAAGTCTCAGTTTTCAGTGAAATAGCATGTCTCAGAAGTCGTGAAAAATTTCACCATGTGGTATATAAGAACAATTCGATACGTACTTTTAAGTGTTAAATGTGTGTTTATATTTAAGTTATACGCGAATATATGTGTGTGTTATAGGTTAGTTCATAAGTGTTGACGAACGTCGAAAAGTGATACAATAATTGTTCTTTGTTTGTGTGATTAATTATCCAAATATGTGAATGAATGAGTGAATTTCAGAAAAACTGTGTGAACAAGTGGAAATTATTTTTTTTATTTTACAATTTTTTTGAAAGTCAATGAAATTCTCAAGCAAGGTACTAGAAATTTTCATTGACTGCTTTTGAAACTCTCATGCAAAAGTACTAGACTGTTTTTAGTATTTTGTGTCGTATCCAAAAGTCAAGTACCGAGTCAATGAAAATTTCACGTACTTTTTTTTCCGTGTATATACTCTATACATCCAACGAAAATAAATATTTATATAATTGTAGTTTAAATGTTTTTGGACTTTCAATATTTGTCATAGAACGAGGAAGAGAGAGTTCCATAAATTTATGGCAGTAACCATGAACGAGTTTTTATATTTTTCTGTTTTACATTGTGGAGCCCTAAGAATGCAAGGAGATCTTAACTCTCTAGTAGTAATTTCCTCTCTAAAAACAAACTTTTCATACAAGTACGAAGGTTTTTTATTGTTTAAAATTACATGTGTAAGACTGCCGATGTACCAAAGTCGTCTGTTACTAACACTAAGCCAACCTAGCTGTAATAATAATCAGCTGTAATTATAATCAAATATAAATCTTATACATGAATTCAGGAGTTTCTCAAGTTTATAATTTAATTCTTCAGTCATATCATTATATACAACACAACAGTAATCAAAATGAGGGAAAACCAATAACGTAACAAGTTTCGTCTTTAATTCAACCGTAAGGGCTTTCTTATTTGTTTTGAATTGTGATAAGGTGGCATAGACGCTCTTGCACATTTTGCCAACCTGCTTATCCCAAGAA